TGTGAATATTAACCCATCCAAATGAATCGGTGGGTCAAAGAACAGTACTAGTCCAAAAATTGCATTATGAGTAAATTAAAAAAAACTAAATAACTATTTTGTTATTTGACACATAAATTTGACATGTACATATCAAATGTAAAGCTATTTAAGATGAGTATAAGAGATCATGTTTCAACTATTATTGTATCTGAAATATTTAAAAAAAAATATTGTGGACATGTACTGTTTTTTAAGTCAAGTATATAGTTTATATTTTATTTTTAGTATCCTCTATTTTATAAATAATGCAAGGTTGACAAATAAACTAATATAACATATTATTGCAAAACACATGCACTTAGCTGTGGGGAGGGGTCCGAGGTGCCCCCACCATCACTCAGCATCCACTTCTTGTGGGGCCAGGAGGTGACGTGATAGTAAAGTTCCAGCAATTCTCCTGTAATATATTGCATTACCTTTTTACGGCATTAATTTTTTTTATATTTATCGGAATTTGTTGTTCGTATGCGCATTTGGTAGGAAGGGGTGGACAATTTTTATTTGGCTTCATTAGTTTCAAGCTATGAGATACTAGACCACCTATATATTCATAAGTTTTCACATATCCACTGGTGTCATATACAAACTGCCTATAATTTGACAGAGATAACGCTTCATTGCTTCTTACAACAGTTATATTTTTTAAACTGAGGCCACTAATTTTTAAAATCTAGGTAATTTGTTTATTGGTAAATGGTTTAGTTTGTCGAAATGACAATATCATTTCCTCATATTTCTCTGGAATATATACATATTCGTGTCTTCTAACGTATCTTTTTAGGACTCTCAAATCCCTATCACAGGGCAAAAATGAGTGGTCTCTGATAATATTGGAAGATTTTTTTAAAACGTGTTGTTGCTACTATTTTGAAGAGAAAATTAACAGAATCAACTCTCACAGAGTAATTTTCGCAACTAATAAAATAATATTTGAAACATCAACTTCAAAGTAACAGTAATGAGTGTAAAAACAGTACATGTCCTAGACTTGTACTGTTCTTCCACTCGTCCAGTTTCAACGTAATTTATACTGCCGAACCTATTATATGTATTGCACTGTTTTTGATCTCAATAAGTGGACACACATGTTAATATCAATTTGGCTATCTTAACTCAAAACGTCACTTTTTGGACTAGTACTGTTCTTTGACTCACTGATTCATTAATCTTTAATTATATGATCCAAAAACTCACATATTATTAAAATATAAGTACACTATGAATTTTTGCTTCTTAAATTCACCTTAGTACAAGCTTGTTTTATTGCATTTTAAATTGTGTATAAAAAACATACAAATTTTCTGACAAACTTTATTCCTTTCTCTGGTTCCATTTCGGCAAATTTGTGAAGCTTGAGTGTGCAATTTTAATAGTACACCTCCTACGTCCTAAGTATTCGTTTTTTGTATTTTAAAAAGTAAACCAGTCGTATCATATCCTGTGACGCTGTGAAAAGCCTTCACATGCAAGTTCACCAATTAGTCTAATCAACAAGTTCAAAAGCGTGTTTTTGGGACATATTATTACGAGAATTATGTTCAATAGCTCATTCGATTCGAAATAATGTCTAGATCAATGTGTAAAGACAAATTTGGCAGTGCATAAAAAATTGCCTATAATTTGTAAACTATAAATATGTTTGGATTTTTCAAAAAAGATCCTTAAAGAGAAGGAAATTTGCTATAAACAAATTTCGACTCCCGGAACTGCACCTCCATTATTTATAATTTTAATTTAACGCTCAAAGTAGCCTTCCGCGCGCCATTTTTAGGTTGCGCGCACGGCGTCGAAACCAAGTACGTTACATAAAATAATTTTTTTAAGTTAATAAAATTAAATTCAAAAATTTAAAAAAATGACGGTGTATTCTAAACACTTAGAAGAATTCACTCCCGTTGGAATTTTTTATAAACATTAATTTTCCAAAAAAGTAGGTTATTGTTAATTAACAAAATTTTTAGAATTTCTCTCATCATTACAAATTGATAAAAATATTAAATAATTACTATAAACAAATGGAATATTTCAATATTTTTTAAATTTTTTTTTACAACTTTCATTGCCACTTATGATTTAAAAAAAAATGTTTTCTTAATAATAACTTTTAATTGTTTATAATCGTTTTTTTAATATATCTATTGTTTAAATTATTAGTTAAGAAATGTGTTTCTTTTAAAAATCATAATTGACAGTCCTCCACAAAGTGACAGCAAAAAAAAAATTTGTTATTAATAATTCCATTGTTTATTAAGTTAACAATTTTTTATAAACAAATTCCCAACTTTGGTATATTTTTTCCTGAAAGAAATAAAAATTCCAAAAATGACTTAGTGCATTAAAATTACGGAAAATATTTTATTCCATTTTTTTTATTAAACTTTGAAAATATACGTACTATCAAAGTTGCAGCAGCTGATCCATTTGTTGACTTAAAAGTTGATATAACTTTTAAACTATTGGAGATACGACAATAAGCATTCAAGTCATTTTTGTAGGCAATGAAATTATCTCTCAGATAAGTCATTTGTCAGTTTCGTACCTATTGTCAATTTGTTTATAAAAATTGATTTTTTTTTAAGTTTTTCGAACTTTTGCGACTTGTAGCTCAGTAAATAATGTAAATTCTGTTATTAAACTTCAAGGCAATTCTGTTTTAATTATATAACATTTTCAATTGTTTATTTAATTTTCAGTCAATTTTTTTAAAAACATTATAATTTTTTTACTAAATCTTTGGAAATTTTTTTACTTCTAGCTATTTACTTACTATTCTCTGGCTACCTTCATAAATAATTGAAATAAAAGTCGTAAAATGAATGTTGAGGGGATCGGACAAAAGATTTGACCTGTAAACACGCAGCTGTACATTGAAACGTACAAAACTCGAAGCGAAAGACAAAAAACGAATCAGTAAAAAAAGTCTGACTAAATTTTAAAGATTTGTAACAAAAGCACTGTGCAATATTGTGTAAAAAATTTAAAATAATATGAATGCATAAACTTTCCAAAAATTTAGTAAAAAAATTATAATAGTTTATAAAAAAATTGACTGAAAATTAAATAAACAACTGCAATTGTTATATAATTAATAGCTTAACAGAATTGCCTTAAAGTTCAATAATTGAATTTGCATTATTTACTGAGCTACAAGCCGCAAAAGTTCGAAAAACTTAAAAAAAAATCAATTTTTATAAACAAATATAAAAAACAACAAATTGACAATAGGTACGGAATTGACAAATGACTTATCTGAGAGATAATTTCGTTACCTACAAAAATGACGTGAATGTTTATTGTCGTATCTCCAATAGTTTAAAAGTTATATCAACTTTTAAGTCAACAAATGGATCAGCTGCTGCAACTTTGATGGTACGTATATTTTCAAAGTTTAATAAAAAATGGAATAACATTTTTTCCGTAATTTAAATGCACTAAGTCGTTTTTGGAATTTTTATTTCTTTCAGAAAAAAAAATAAACCAAAGTTGGGAATTTATTTATAACATATTGTTAACTTAATAAACAATGGAATTATTAATAAAAAAAATTTTTTGCTGTCACTCTGTAGAGGACTGTCAATTATGATTAAGGCAGTATTTATTGGTTCATAACGGTAACGAATATCCATCTGTGCCCTTAGCTCATGCGGTTTATATGAAGAAATAATATGTGAACATGAGAGTTCTTTTAGAGCACATCCGTTATCATGAGTATGGTTGGGCAATATGTGGAGACCTAAAAGTAATAGCCGTTCTTCTTGGAATGCAACTAGGATATACGAAATATTGTTGCTTCCTTTGCAAATGGGACAGCCGTTCAAGAGACCGTCATTATGTACAGAAGCAGTAACCAGTACGTCATGCACTAACTCAGGGACAGAAAAACGTTACCAATGGACCTCTAGTTGATCCCAAAATAACTACCACCCTTGCATATTAAATTGGGTTTAATGAAGAATTTTGTTAAGGCAATGGACAATGGAGGGTTCTTATATCTGAAACAAAAATATTCAAGAATCAGTGAAGCAAAAATTAAGGAGGGCATATTTGTGGGTCCGCAAATAAGAGAAGTAATAAAAGATAAAACATTTGAGGAAATGCTCAGTGAAACTGAACTACGAGCCTGGAGTGCTTTTAAAAGCGTTGTTGCAAATTTTCTTGGAAATGTGAAAGCTGCCAATTACAAAGATCTTGTGACTGAACTACTTACTGCCTATAAAGAAATGAGTTGTAACATGTCCCTTAAAATTTACTTTTTGGACTCCCGTTTGGATTTCTTCCCCGAAAATTTAGGGGCGGTAAGTGATGAACATGGGGAACGGTTCCACCAAGACATTGCTGCTATAGAGAAACGGTACTAACGCAAGTGGAGTGCCAGTTTGCTTGCCGATTACTGCTGGACATTGTTAAGGGATACTCCAAAAACAAAATATCGCCGACAAACATCGACAGTAACATTTTAAGGTACTCTTTGGTTAATAAAGTAATATAACAATAATATATCTATCGCTGTTTTCTTAAAAAACAAAAATACCTCATAGCAAAAAACTATAGGTGATAGAAGGAATCTGTAGCTATTTTCTGCTTTTGTGGCAATTTTTAATATATAAACACTTTTGTTTTGTTCACAAAAAACAAGTGGATTTTTGTTTACCAGTGTTATCTATTATTTTGTTTAATTACTAAAATTTTTAGGAAGAAAATTAACGACTTATGATTTATCTTTGGTTCAAATAACTAATCAAAAATTGTATTTCAAACATTAAAACGATAATAGGTGCAACATGAGGAACGTCGATATGAACGAAAAAACCACATGATTTTTTTATATTTACAATAAACGAAAATGAGTTTTTTTTTTGATAACGCAAGAACTGTATAAGTGATAACAGCGATGATGGTCATATTAACAAAAACTAACTATTTATTTAAATAGTACAATATTTCAATTTTAATTTTAGTACGAATGTTACACAGACCTAAAAAGTGGAGCAGAAAGTGGTTGGGACTTCACCAGCCGTTGGTTATTTGACAAAAAGGGAGAACCAACATCTGATTTGGAAATGATCAGCACAAGAAGAAATGTACCTGTTGACTTAAACGCATTTCTATATAAAGCTTTTAAAGCTGTTTACAAATTCCATCTGATCTTACAAAATGAAGAACAAGCCAGATTTTGGCTAGGCAAAATGGACAAATGGAAAGAAGCTATCGAAGCTATTTTCTGGCATGAAGAGGATGGAACATGGTAAGTGTGTAGTTGATACGTATATTCCTGTATATTTTACGGCCATAGATATAATTGGATGTAGTTATGCATAAAAGAACCAAGCCATGAAATGTTGAACTGAAATAATTACGTATAAAAATGTCAAAGTTATTTGAAAGATTTGCCTTTATTTTAAAATAAAAACATTATACTATAGTAGGGCTTTGAAAACTTAGGTAATAACACCAAAAATATGTTATACATCTATAATTTTTGCGGCTCGGTTACATAATGGAATGTTTGAAGAATTTACAAGAATAAAAAAGAAACAACACAATAAAACTATTTTTTAATATGTTAAGTAACAATACATATTAGGTATTATCAATACTTAGTTGTTATCTTGCAACTCAAAATCTAAATCTGCATCAAAACCATCAAGGTAATCTTTAATAATATCACCAATTATTAAATTTTTATAAAAACTTTGCGAATCGCTAGAAATAAGATGCATGATAGACTTTATATCTTCAAGTTTTTTTGGCGAGATCGGTTTTCCGTTTGGCCATAATGGTGTCAGTGCCTGTGGAAATATATTGCCTTCATTCTGAGGTCTACCCTTACGTTTTTTTGATATGTCTATTTTAGAACATTCTTGCATTCGTCAGTTTTATGGTTTGGCAACACAAAGGCTTGTCTTTGAATATCTTGATTTCTCGAAACTGTAGCCAATTGATTTTTTCTCCGGAAAATTTTAAATATTTTTTTTTGCATCTTTTGTACCAAGAAAATCTAAGCTTTCATAATATTTATATAATCATCTTCAGTATAGATTCTCTGTTGAAATTTTAAAGCCTTTTCTATATCAGAAAAGTCACTATCATTTTTAAAAAACCATATCCAGACACTAAAAATCTCAAAGAGACCGTCTCCAGTGATGGATGGTTTTCAAGACCAGCTTTTAATAGTAAAATTATTTTGATGTTCCTGTTTTGCCCACCACAGGAGTCTGACCAGAGTATTAGGGTTTTCACAGTTTCAGGAACATGCAATTCAATATGCTTTAGCAAACAAGAGCCCACTTCTTGAGCTCCACCTCCAGCACTTCCTTCTACCCATATGTAGCAAAAAGCTCTATTATGTTTGCAAGAGTGGATTCCTGTATTGTATAACCAAATTTGGCTTTTATAAAATATGACATTAGTTGGAATCCTCGGCAATAGGAGAGTTTTCTCCATGTCAAAGGTAAGTACTTCTAGAGTTTCATCTCTCATAGCTCTTTGGATGTGATCGTTCATTTTGTTTCTAGCTTCTTCCTGGTAATTTAAATGAGTGGTATGCTCTTGGGTGAATTTTTCTTTATCTTCATTAGTTTTTGCTGATTTTATAGCAGCATCCATTTTGTCACACAAATTGCATGTATCTTTTTTTAAAGGCTTACGCCTCAAATTAAAATTGGAATAAAAAATTATTTTATATTTTTCATAACTTACTTCTTCAGAATATAGTCGATGCATTTTTTCTATAGTCATATGACTTTCTAAATACTCAACTTCATGTGCTTCTTCACGTCTTTTGTGTGATTTATATATCGGTATTTTTGTATGTACCTCATTGAATCGCTTATTAGATATTTTATTGCAACCACCTCGATTTCCTCTTTTATTTACAATACTATCGGATTTGATTTTTAAAAGAGCGGTATGAACACGTTTTGTAGATATTTTTAGTGTTTTAATAAATAAATCTCTACAAACAGTGGTACCATTTATTTTATAAACTCAGGTAAATTTTCTTTTTGGGTTTTCTTGCTATTGAGTATATTGACGTTTTGTAGGCTGTTCGGTTATTGATGTATAGTCCTTCCATTATCAATTGCAGAACACAGTTATGTAGGGAATCATCAATATTTAATATATACGCACGGCACTTATGCCAAATTTAGAAATGAAAAATAATGTTTACTCCCCTTATACAATGCGGTAAATATTAAACGAACGGTCAGTCCACGTCTACTTGATATATATGTGTCAAAATCCATCATCTCCGTTGTTTACCAATGAAAACATCGAATCGTAAACTTAAATGCACTGTATTGGCCGAAGGTTTACGGAGGGCAGGAGTGTTCGAAAATATTCCTAGAAGACAGTCTGCGATATCAGTGGAGTACTGTCGTGAGGTGTGTTTTGCATGTGTGTGAAACGCCCCTTTATTTTAAAGGGTTGTTGTAAAGCCTTAATTGGGCCTTGGCGGCTTAACTCAAGTCGGTAAGGGTGGTGGGTTTCGACAAATAAGTAAAAAAAAAAATGAAATATTTACTCACAAATTAATAACCAGAGGGGGTGGGCGCCAGGAAGTCATAATACCTGACCATGACCCTTAAGATATCTGTAAAATATTGCGACTTACCAACAATATCAAAAAAAAAGGCGAGATTCACAACAATATAAACTTTACTTTTGAAAATACCAAATTAACAAAATAATTAATAGTTTCAGTATATGCACTAGATCAATAAACAAATATATATACTACTCAACTTTAGGCAAGGCTGAGAACCACAAGAAATCAAATCAAATAAAAGTTGTTTTAACGTATGAGTACTCAAACGCAAGAAAAATGTAAATAATGTGAAACAATGTTAAATACCTGCTTAATGTAATAATTATACCTAAAATAATATTGTGCTCTCAAATTAATTAAAGCCAATAGCAACCACAAAGCGAATAATAAATATGTAGGGATTACAAATATATATAGCAATTTTACATTAAAAGTATAGCACTCTATTAAGTCAATAAGCACTATAGTTTAAAGGAAAAGCGAACAATAAGTACATAGCAATTTTACATAATATATGGCGATTTTACATTGGAATGATAGCGTTTCCAAATTAATTTAAGTCCAATAAGCAACTACAGTTTAACACTACACGAGCAAGCAGCAAGCAGTTCATTAAATCGATAAAAAAAAATATGTATACGTATCTGCATTAAAGTTCTGGTGCTCGTACTCTTCAAACTGACTAACAACGTCCCAGGTTAAATCCTCCACAAAGAGAGTAACCCCAAGAGTGAGTTGATGAAAGAGCCGACTAGTATACCAGAAAACCCTGTATATAACAAAATTAAATATTAGAAAATATAACCGGCTTTTTAACCTTGATATACCATTAAAATATATTAAATTAAAAATTAGATAAATCTCTTGTGAGGAATCTTACAAAATATATAATTATTATTAGTACATACCCTTATGTGCTGAAGGGGTTCGAAATTACAAAATCCAACCACGACAGTTCCAGACTGTTGGCAATGTCCACGAGAGGTTATAGCAAACAACAGTTCCTAATTTCTCCAAAAATATATCCTTGTTCGCAAGGAGAGAACACTGAAGGTACACAATTTAATAATTAGAACACAAAACTAACTGGGATTAATCAGAAAAATTATTTCTCAAAATTTACAGGAACATATCCACCATTTTACGGCGTTTTACCTTCAAAACTTTTTCGAAAAGAATCAATCACTCTCTGATCGAAATCGAAAGAAAAGACAATGTTGCCAAATTATGCAGTTCACATACATACTTAATGACGTCAGAGCCAAGACAGTCGGTTAAACTTCAATATAGCGAATAAATACTTTACCAATTGTATCATATCTAACAACTTATTATAGAAGATATTCTAAATTAATACAATGTCGCTATTTAAAAAGAATTTTCACATAAAGTCCTCACGAAGTAAAGCAGGATTTCCCCAAAGATTGTTGACTAATTTACAATAGACATTTGGCAACGTTGCAAAGATTTTGATTTACTGCGAAACAATCAGCTGTCCAAGATTAAATTGTAATATATTTTATTCTATATACCCCACGAAAGACATAGGCGTAGACGATTTCTAACGAATATCCAAATAATTAAATGGTATTTTCAAAATATAAAGACAATGAACTTTAGCCAATTTACAACCGTAACATGTGGTTGGTTTAATTTAAATTTCTTTTAATAAATATAAATATAGCGTTCTTTAGACCGTGGGCGAATGAAGAAAATGAAATTGCACAGTATAGTGAGATTAAAGACAGGTATAACTTTAACAATAAGGATTTAGACATACAAATATAACAAGTTATTTTAAATATATTCAAATGTTTAAAAAAGGAAAATAATTAGCAGTCTGATAATGCGATCATAATAAGAGTAAGGTAGTCACAAAAGGGGTTGCTGTGGATCATTCACAAAACCGAAAAACATGTAAAGAAAAACTGAAATCAGTTGACAGAGCTACCCAAGATTTTATACGAAGGACAATTTATAGTTTATATGAGGAGAACAGGGTTCCAACGTTGGAAGTAATACAGCAAAAGGTAGCAGATTTTACAGGATACACTCATACCAGTTTGGAAACATTGCGTCAAGTTTTGTCAGCATGTAGTTTTAAACACAAAAAATTGAATAAACGGATGGCAATCATCGAATCGTCAAGGATAGTTCAATGGCGACAGATTATTTGCGTCAGATAAAAGAGTACAGAAGTTCTAATAGACACATAATTTATCTAGATGAAACATGGTTTGACAGTCACGATGTAGTAAATTTCGGTTGGGTTGACAGTAGTAAAAATTGCTGTTTGAATGGGCCATGTTCTAAAGGGAAACGTATTATAATAGTACACGCTGGAAGCAAAGACGGTTTCGTGCCTAATGCTTTATTATTATCTGCTAAACTAATTAAAAACTGTGCAGCTGATTATCATTAAGATATGACAGCAGAATTATTTGAAAAATGGTTTAATGAACAGCTTTTACCTAACATTCCATTACAGTTAGTAATCGTTATGGATAACGCATCCTACCACTCGCGGCAACTCCTTAAAATACCAAATAGTAGCAGTAACAAAGCTCAAATTTTAGCGTTTATGTCTGAAAAAAATATTCCTATTCCTGCCAGTGATCGTAAAAAAGGCTTAACAAACAAAGAATTGCTTACTGTTATTAAAGACATGAAGTAGGAAAAAATTTATTATATTGACA